GAGTTTTGTGAATTGGGTTATGTTAAGGAGGATTAAATTGAATGTTTAATTGGTTTAAATTGTTGTTGGAACCTTAATTGCTCAAATGGGATGTTTGGGTGTTGAATTCTTATAGTGGGTCCTTGAGGTTTGAATTTTAATTGATGTTTGGAAAGGAATTAAGGTTTTAATGGATTAGTATGACTTTGGAGTGTTGCCTTGATAGTTATACCCTTTGAGTTGGGTAGAGTTTTGATGGGAGATAGGAATTTTGTGTCCCCAAGTGTTGTGTGGACCACATTATTAGTTTGAAAGCTAATATATGATGGTTGTGTTTGTGTGCTTGTGTAGACTGGTTGTGAGTCTTGGTGGTGCACGAGGCCACATCGTTGGTTTGTTGTTTCTTGCTCAGGCGAGAGGTAACCACTTTCCAATCCTTAGTACTTGCTTCTGTGGTTTTGTGAGTAGATTTATGTTTTGTGCTCTAAGTAGTAATTATATTCAAACTGTATGTTGTGTATAAAAAGAAAAACCGTCTTGTGGGGTTTCGACTAATGATGAATGAATTTTGGTATTGTGAAAGATATGCCACTGAATGAGGTTAATTGTGAAATGATTATTACTCTTTGATTATGATTTGAGCATGATGCATTAATTGGGAATTGGTGAGAGTTTTGTCTGTTACTACCACGTGGTAAGGCCTCCATTAATGCATGATGGTTGGCTTAGTACGTCCCCCATAGTGAGGGATAGGCCTTTTGGCTCCCTACGTCCCCCAGAGTGAGGGATAGGCCTTTTATGGCTCCTTACGTCCCCCATAGTGAGGGATAGGCCGGCTTCGGCTCTTGAAAATCCCCCAAAGTGAGGGATTTGGGTATGGGGATTTGCATCATTTCACTCACATGATTTATTGTGGCTATCTTGTTATTATATTACTTGTGAACTGCCCCACTTGACACCTCACAAGCACCTATTTAGTAGTACCTAGTATTGGAAAGGTTGGTTACTGGGACTTTGTCTCACCCCGTGGTTTACAATGTTTTCAGGTGCAGGTTCCGGGCGTGGGCCATCGGGAAGAGACACAGAGGCTTGAGCTTGGTTAGCTTTAGGCCTCTAGCATTTGTATATGTATGACTAGTATATATTGCCACAGTTAGGACTACTTTTTGATATATTTGAGTACCCGGCCTTGTTGTAAACTGGAGAGAATGTATCTCTTATTTTGGTTGGTCGGAGGCCATTGCTAGTGTTTTATGAACTCTGGATTATTTGGTTGGGAATCATTTAGATGGGCTGATGTGATGTTTGTTGTTACCCGGGCCGGAGGCTCGGAGGCCCAGTAGATGTAAATGAACAGATTATTTTAGTTACATGCAACGGTTTAAATGTGAATTCAAATTATGCAAATTTCTTCCTACTATGGTAGTTCATTTAACAGATTTCCTTTTCTACCATAGTAGTGATTTTATGATGAGTTATAATGTTTTGAGGGTAAGGGTTTTACACAGCTGCCCACAAGGAGGTCAAGTAGACGTAAAGTCCTAATAGTTAAATCTCCTTACATGTCTACTTATGGTAGAAAGGTGAAAATAAGTGACAGGGATGCATTTTATATTGTGTGTACTGAGTGGTGTCAACCAGATGAGGCTCAAGAGTAAGTATAGTCAGTTATTATGAAAAAGACAGCCTGTAAATAATACTACTATGCAACACTGACTACTTATTTTCACTTTCATATTTGTTGTAGGGTCATGGTAGATATGTTTAGGCATTTGGCAACACGAGCAGACCTACAAGCACTGGGTCCCAGAAGGTGGATAAGCAACAGGGTACGTGCACCTATTCAATTTACATCAAAGTGGCCATATATGGAATGTGCCACATTTTTAATTTAATTTTCCTGCTCCTTTATTCTGTAAATCATGACTCTGATTGCCCACACCTTGAACGCTGACCAACAGGAGAGTGCCTCTGCGGTTAAAAGACATATGTTTGATGCAGATTTCATGGTTAGTGCTATCCCCTGTTAATGGATCAATGCTTTAAATTGTGCAATCAAGTTATCGATACAGTTTCTTCACTGACAATTTGCATTACTGTGCAATTTGCTATTGTGATAGGCAAGGATAGTGCAGCAACACACGGCATGGCAAGTGGACAAACATCTGAAAGAACTACTCCCCCAACACCTAGGATACAATTTGGCTGAATGTGAATACATATTTGCACTGCATTGGTTTTGCTTTGTGTTTGAACCGAGCACACTAAAGTTTTATGTGCTGGACTCTCTGCGTGGTGGTGAGGATACAATGAAGCACCAAAAGAAGAAGAATAAGTCTGATCCAGCATTAAAGGGGCAGCAAATGATGGCGCAAACTTTTGTAAGTGCTGTAATTATTCTCCTACTTTTGTGGACAACCATTGTATCCCCTGTGTGATAATCATTTGTAATTGTGTAGAGGGCATACTTCATTGAAATACTAAGGAGAGTGAAGCTTGAGCTGGAGGCTTTGGCCAACCCAGATTTAAACAATGACATCTTGTATCCCACGGTTCATATTCAAGACAATACGTGAGTCTTTTGTTCACTGAAAGTTATTTGTCATAAATTATAATCGACATAGATAAGCCAACATAGTGATGTGTTCATTTTTTCAGTGATGATTGTGGGGTTCATGTCATCACATATCTAAGAGAGTGGCCCGACCCACAAGAGAAGGATGGAGTTCTATTCACCATGCCTTATTATACAGCGGTAGGTGTTGAATTATATGTTAATGACATCATGCATTTGTGTCAACTTACTGAGAACAGTTATTGTTGTCCCATAGGATCAATACACATCTATACGGTGTGAGCTGTTGTGGTGGCTCGTGACTCATAAAAGAAACATCAAGTCTGATGCTGTTGCCAAACACCTTGACCAGATTAATAGACAACGCAAGAGAAAGCGATGACTGATCAAATTCCTACCTTGTAGTTTTTGCTGATAAGCACTGTAATTGTTGTTGTAAACACTTTATGCGGACTTAAATGTTGTGCATACAAAAGATGTTAATAAAGACTGTTTTGATGGATTCATATTATCACTACTTGTTTACTTTCATTAGATGTATGGTTGACAACAGAAATTAGGGAATTTGCAACAACAAAACAGGAATTAACACCAAATGTTCATCCATTTCCAACTGAACAACCTACATTAAGGATTAGACCTTTGCACGAACGATTAGACAATTTGCAAGAGAGACAAATAAGTTAACAACAACAATTAGACCATTTACAAGTGTCGTTCATCAGCTAAACAACGTGTCCTCTTAAATATGCAAGTGCCTTCCTTCACCTGAATAAGGTGTCCATTTCCATGTGGAACTAGGGAATTTGCAACTCCGATACGTATATTCACAACTGGAATCAGTCCATTTACATGTGCCGCCCTTGACCTGAACAGGGTGTCTATTTACAAGGGGAACTAGCCAATTTGCAAGACACATGATTAGCTTCACATGTGGAATCAGTCCATTCACATGTGGACTGGTTCAGCTGAAGCATGTGTCGAGAGGGAACAAGTGGGGGAGAGTGCATTTGTAAGGGGAACTAGCCAATTTACAAAAGACATACCTATATTCACACGTGGAATCAGTCTATTCACATGTGGACTGGTTCAACTGAAGCATGTGTCCGTGAGGGAAGAAGTGGTTTGCAAGGGAAAGTAGCCAATTTGCAAAAGACATACCTATATTCACACGTGAAATCAGTCCGTTCACATGTGCACTGGTTCAGCTGAAGCATGTGTCCGTGAGGGAACAAGTGGGGGAGAACACATTTGCAAGGAGAACTAGCCAATTTGCAAAAGACATACCTATATTCACACCTAGAATCAGTCCATTCACATGTGGACTAGTTCAACTGAAGCATATGTCCGTGAGGGAACAAGTAGGGGAGAGCGCATTTGCAAGGGGAAGTAGCCAATTTGCAAAAGACATACCTATATTCACACGTGGAATGAGTTCGTTCACGTGTGGACTGATGAGGGAACAAGTGGGGGAGAGCGCATTTGCAAGGGGAAGTAGCCAATTTGCAAAAGAGATACCTATATTCACATATGGAATCAGTCCGTTCACATTTGCAAGGGGGACTAACTAATTTGCAAGACACATACTTGGCTTCACATGTGGATTGATTCACCTGATGAATGTGTTTGACTTAAGTGTGGGAGAGCCCATTTGCAAGTGGGACTAGAAAATTCACACCATACATGCATATTTTCACAACTATAAATAGTCCATTTACATGTGGACTGATTCACCTGCAGAAGGTGTCCAAGTGTGGTTTTGTATACCATTTGCAAGTGACATTAGACAATTGGCAACACACATACATATATTCACAACTGCAATCAGTCCATTTACATATGACGACCCTCACCTGAAGAAGCTGTCCGTCAGTGGACAGGTAGGGGAGAGCCTGTTTGCAAGTGACATTACACAATTTGCAACATACCTACATATATTTACAACTAAAAATAGTTCATTTGCATGTGGACTGATTCACCTGGAGAAGGTGTGCAAGTGTGGTTCCATATACCATTTGCAAGTGATATTAGACAATTGGCAACATACATATATATATTCACAACTGTAATCAGTCCATTTACATATGACGACCTTCACCTGAAGAAGCTGTCCATCAGTGGACAGGTAGGGGAGAGCTCGTTTGCAATTGACATTACACAATTTGCAACATACATACATATATTTACAACTAAAAATAGTCCATTTGCATGTGGATAGATTACAGCCTAACATAACCTGGGACAACTATAGTCACCTACTGTCATGAAATTTTTCAACTATTGACAGCACTATACAAAATATAATCGAACCCACCACCAAAAAATCAAAATGAGTTGTCATAGCTACTTCCCTAACAACTCAACAACTACATAGTGGGGCTCATTTATGTACAAAAGTAGCTGTGTATTGAACTAAAAAAATAAAAGACTATTTTCAGCAACAAAGTCACCCAGGGTTTAGGTTACTGCAAATCTTTCTAGTGTGACCAGCTTCACCACATCCTGAGCAATGATACAGTTTCTTCTGCTGGAATTGTGATTCAATTCTCCTAACTTTGGGTCTTCCAGTACGAAGAGTTGTTAACGGTGGTTGTAGGAAGATGGTGGACGAGTAATCTTCATATCGAGGGGAATCTGGCCTAGAGATGTCATGGGTCTCAACTGGAATCATGAGTCTGCCATAAATTTTCTTTTGGGTTGAGAGTAAAAAGTAATCCTCAACATATGCATATATATTACCATATACCTTCTTGATTGCAGCACATGCATGTGGGCAAGGTAGTCCTGACATTTGCCAACCTTTGCAGGTGCATTCACGTAACACAAGATTTACCCGCACATCTAGGTTTCCCCATCTAACCTTGAAATTGTTTATTCCATAATCTTGCACATCCATTCTTTCTGATCTGGCCACATGATCCATCAACTTTTCCTTTATATTAGGTCCCACACCACTGGTCCAATTCCTCATGGCTTCTTTATTGTGGTACATCTTGTTTGCCAATTTTTCCCTGTGCTCATGTATCAAGACAGCTATGTTGTGCTTCCTCTCACCAACAAGCCAAGCATTAAAGGATTCAGCTAGATTTGTTGTGATATTGTCCCACCTCTTATAAGAAAATTTGCTTTGTGCCCAACGCTTAATGTCTCCATTTGTTTGAAGCCATTGTCCTAATTCTGGACAAAATGCCATTAGCTTTTCCATACTGCAATCAAAGTCTCTATCAAGTCTTGCGTATGCAATAGAATCAAGTAATTTTAGTGCAACTTCCTTTGTCTGTCCGTTGGTCCTCCTCTTTGCCCTGGTTATCTTTAAAAACTCAGCACTGTAATTCTCCTTCACATGACGGTAGCAAAAAGCATGTCGATCTCCTCCAACCATGGCTTGCACTGCACCTTTTATTGAGTTGTGTCTATCCAATACTATTGTCACTTCTAATGATCCCGTAATATCCTTTATGTTACCAAGAAACCATGCCCAGTCATCAAGCGTCTCACCTCCAACAATCGCATATGCAAGTGGGAATAATTCATTATCCGCGTCATACGCTTGTGCTCCCAATAACGTTCCTTTGTATAGACCACTCAAGTAGCATCCATCCACATATAATATAGGTCTACCACCTTTCAAAAACCCTTCTACACAGCAACTGTATGCAATAAATACAACTTGAAATCTATTACTTGATGATGCAACCCACTTTGCTACCGTTTCTGGATCACTTTCCTTTAGCCTTTCACATATCTAAGGGATTAGCATATAAGACTCCTGCAGACAACCATGAATTTTTGCCAATGCTTTCTCTTTCACCCTATATGCTTGTTGGTAGTTGAGGCTCAACCATACTCTCGTTCCAAATCCCGTCTAATGTCATTTGGAGCTTTATGCATGCAAGAAATCAACTCATCTTTTGTGACTACTAAAGCAAGTTTACACCTCTTTCTTTGAGGGGCAACTAAGTTGTCTTGTGCATAATACAAGTGTTCACAGTTAAATCTTCTCAAAACTAGGAATCCATTCTTCTCACCAACACCATATGCTGAAATTTCCCAGGGACAACCATCTACACAGCACTTCACAATCATCTTATGCCTATCATTCTTTACATACCGGTAACCAAACTTATGTGCAAGGCTATACTTATATAATGCCTCTCTAAAATGTTTAGCACTAACAAAGGTTTGCCCTCTTGACATCAACAAATCTGCCCACTTTGACGAATTCATCACCGCTATTAGGGTTGGCAACATTTCTATACCTACACTTTCTATCAGTGTTGGCACATCTTGTACGGGAGATATGTTTATGTTGTCTGTGTCTAAATCCAATTCAATTGGAGATACTGACATTCCACAAGGGCCTACCAAATCATCTAACCTACATAAACAAATACAGCTATTGAGTATTATAGTTCAATTTATCAAAATTGGACATATTTCTTATCCTACACACAATCTTAATAAAACCAGTTGAAAACAACTTACTCTTGTACACTGTCCAGATGTGACACTTGTGTGAAGTCTTTCTCATTCTCACAAACATAAACATGGCCACTACTATTGTTGTACTCAATTACTTGTCCAACACCAATATCATCAACAAGATCCAAGAATGTGTCCCGGTCAAAGCTAACTGTGTACTTCATTTTATATTCACAAGTCCCTGGCCACACATCATGAGCTACCATGCATTGTAGTTCTTCATATGTCATCCCTTCTCTAATCAATCTTCCAGTAATGATGCCCCCTTCATAAATGAATTTCCCTTCTGAGGTCTTTACAAAGTGCCCTCTAACATGAAAGATGCAAAATACTGGTTTCCCACTACTACTAGCCATTTATCCTCTGCTGCTGCACATCATTCAAGTATGATACAATGTACGTTTACATCAGCAATTTGACAATTGACAACAAGATTTAGTATTTTCACAACATTATATTGCTTTTTCTCGGACATAACTAGAATTAGCAAATTTACCATCGTACTATATATTTTCACCATTCCTCTGCACATCTACCTGTCATACAACCCATTCCAGCCCACACACCCATTTCCCTTTCATTTTTGCCTACCTAAGTTCCTTCAACAGCGCATTATACTCAATATGCACCCACTTTTCAAAACATCACAAACACCACATCTTTAACAACTTAAAACAGCATGAGCATGAATTTCTTAAACTATAAACACCGTCAGATTTGCAACTCACTCCCAACCTACATGCCCATCCACTTAAATACTCATTTCTTCCTCATTCACCCCTCACAACCCACCTGTGCTAACCAAATCACACCAACAAAACCAAAATTTTAACAATAAAATCTTACCTCCCACGCCAACCTGACGCTACTTCCAGAGAAGACGCAACACTGTGGGGCACACTTGCGATTTCTCTCTCTTGCATCAACTCTAGCTTGGAGTCTAAAAGACAGTGGAGGGACGGACCTCAAAAGTGAAGCTTCGCCACTGCGTTTTCTCAACTCATGGTTGTCAGCTATCTCCCTTCCGTATCGGCGCACTGCATGGGAGAGGCAGGAAATAACACCATCTCCCTCCTTCTGTCTTTCTTCTGTCTTTTACACACGCTGATAATATGTCTCATTTTTAGAGGGAAATAAGTTTTTACTAGAGGCAGTGGCATCATTTCGTTTGTGGGATTAATATCAGATTGGCCCCTTGGTCCTGTAGTGAGGTTTCAGAAAGTTTTGGGGGCTCTTTGACATTAATTGTGTTCTTCGGTCCTACAGTGAAATTCTCCCTTTAATAAAAGTAGTTATGAGAATTTATTTGAAATTCACTACTACAAAAAATATTTTTAATGACACCATTTTACGCCCGTTAAAAATAAAAACGCCATGAAAAAAAATGGTGGCATTTTTTTAATTAAAGTGTGGTAAGTTTTGACTTTTCACGACAGTTATTATGGTAATTGCCATGAAAAGTGTTCACCATAAGTTTGAATAAACCCTATCAGGCAATAAGTTTCAGAGTTTCACTGTCACGTCATGGTCCCTCCTCTACCTCACCACCCAAACTGTATTTTTTGGCAAAGCCTCACTATATACTGTCATTTTTGGTTGTCCATTCACTGCATTTTGCCTTGTCGCTGTGTTTCACCATTCAAACTGACCTCTTCGCGTGTTTTACTCATCTGCCACACCATGAATTTCCTCTTCCTTCATTCTCTTCTTTTTTTTTCCCCTGATTGTTTCGGATGTTTGATGATATAAATTTGTTATATATCAAATGAGTTGATTGATTTTACATTTCTGGACATCGTGCATTATTTATTTTAAGTATCCTATATGCTTAGAGGGTTGGTTTGTGACATCTAGAATTAGAAAATAATAATTACTTTCTTTACACGACATTAGTAACATGTTTAAATATTCAAAGTTGATTAATTTTTAAGTTATAATTTTTTTATAATTTTTTGATATTTTATTTCAAATTTTTGTCAATTTTTTTTTTGATAAACTTTGATATTTATCAATAAATAATCTGTTCCTGTTATGAACTTTGACTGATGATAAAGTGTTATTTAAAATTTCATCACAAATGGATATCATTTGTTCCATTTTAGATTTTTAAGTTTTAGCTTTAAGAATTTTTATTCATTAAATTGGTTTGAGATTGTTTCTTTTGTTTTATTGGTTATGGTTGTTCAAATTTATCTTATATTTGTTTCTTATATTATTGGTTAGTTGATTAGTTAATTTGTCCATTATTTAAATTTTTAGGGATTCCTTATTTTTAATGAGAAACTCTGTCGAATTTTTTATAAAATAAAAAGGCATTGTTTTTAATTTATAATTAAGAGTTAGTCAATTTTAACTTATTGACTAATACTTAAATATTTGATTTATTTGAATATTTGAATTAAGTAGCTAGAATTAAGCTTACATTTGTTGGTTGTTTTATGAACAAAAATGGACAGATCTAGTCAGTAAGGTTCTGGCAACAATAGTTCCTTTACCAGCAAGAAAAGGGGTAGAGGGCTTCCCCGTATGAGAAAGTTATTCAACATCCTAGATTTTAGGCCTAAGAATGCAAGAAATAGCCTAAAATGGGCAAGGTACTGAGTCTCTATGAGCTGAAATTCTGAAAATATAAAAGGAAGGTTAAAGGTTTTTCAAGGACTAAATTGCAAATTGAGAAAGTTCTAGGGACTAAAATATAAATAAAGTTAGAGACTCTAGTACAGTCTTAAGGCCTAAAAATGAGAATTGGAAATGAATATAGGCCAAAATTTATGTTAGAGGCTTCAATAAGGTGAATTATGGGGTTAAGCCGAACTAGGGGTAAAATCGTAATTTTGAAAAGTTTCAGGCCAAAAAGGACAAACATGGAAATTATGGCCAAAAATTCCAGAAAAATTCTAAAAAATGAGAAATGGTGTTTTAAGGCCTTTTTGTAAAGATAAATGATGAAAATACCCCTAAGATGACTTTAATGTAATTTGTAAGATTTTAGCATATTTTAAGGTATACAACTAGATTTAATTATTTGAGTCATAAGAAAATCTCATAAAAGTAAGTAAAAATAAGGATTTATGAGTTAAGAGATTGTAGAAAATTATAAAATTAGCCTTGTCCCTAGAAGGCCAGCAGAATAGCTTTAAGAATATTTAAGACTCAGTTTTGCCATTTAAGGGCATTTTACAAGAAATTCAAAAAGAAATACCTATAAGTTGACTTATGGTCTAAGAAAATTCATAGTTTTTCTCCAGAATTATAAGAATTTTATGGTATGGATGGATAAATTTTTTAAGATTTGGATTGAATAAAATGCTCCAATCAAATATTAAATAATTTTGTCCTCTAAATAGGAGAAAAAATCAAAGAAAATATCTAGAAACAATTATGAGGGCGCTGAGTCAGCATGCTGAGTCGTTAAGGTGCATTTATGACGTTGCTAAGTCATTTAATGAGTCACCAGGAGATATTTATGGACAGTAGAAAAATCAGAACACAATACAGGTACATTTTAGACAGTCCTCTGTCCACCTGATACAGCGAAATCTCTACTATGTGACTCAGTGAGTCTATGTAGCCTGTCAGTAGAGCTAACTATTTTGTTCTATGCTCTTCTAAGATGACACCATATATGGGCCAATTTATTGGTTAGACACCATATATGAAAGCATGGGGAGAAAAGAAAAGGAAGCATGGGGAGAGGAAAAGGAATAAGAGGCGAATGAGACCGATAGCTTGGAAGCTTGATAGAAAAGCTTTCCAATTCTCTTTTCTTCCCCTCTTTCATGCCATATGTATGGCTTCTTATTGGTAGGAATATTGTAAGAAGACAAATGGTGAGGTCATGGAACATATAGCCTAATCAAGTTACAAATAGCAAAATCATAAGCTAAGTGGCTTAATTATGAAACACATGGCAAGACATGATGTAAGAGGTGTAATGTCATAAGGAGTAAGGAATCTATAAGCTTAGAAACATGGCTTTATCAAGATGGAAGACAAGAAGATAAGGGACACATATCAAAGAGATTAAATGAATGGTCAAGATTAAGCCACCCATTTACAAGACCAAGGGCTAAGATTTAAGCTTACTTATTATAAATACCCCTCCCCTCCCATTTATGTCACACCTTACTTATATAATACCTTAGCATTCATTTAGAACCATTCCAGACCATTTTGGATGGTCTTAAGCTTAAAAATTTCAATTTGGACGTAATTTTTGGAAAATTACTGTTCACTGTCCAGTTTTCAGATTACAGGTCCAACTTTGAAAAATCATAACTAATTCTAGAAATATCGTATGGAGGTGTTCCAAAATTCTACGGAAAGCTCTTTCAATGCTCTTTAAGGGAAAAATATTCAACTGAACTCATCCTCACTGAAAACGTACAGTTTATTGGATTAAAATTACTATTCATTTGGTAAAATCTGGACTTTCCAGATTCTGTGCCTTAACTTCGAAAATTCATATCTCATTGTATACACATCCAAATGATGTGATTTACCACTCATTTTAAAGATTGGGATATTCATTATAAGTGTACAAAATTCGCGCTAGCTTAACTCATTCATATGATAGGTCGAACTGAAGCTTGAAATTAACTGCTTCAGGACCTACGTTTTATCCCTTAATATCTCTTTAATTTTCTTTTTATTTCTTTGGCATACCTAACATGGGCTTACTTTTTCCCATTCATGCTCATATACTTTCATTCATGCCATAAAATCCTAAGCACATACATTGAATTGATGGCATTCATAACATAACTTACAACATAGGAGAATTATACATTGAATAATAACATCAATCATTAGCATTAATAATTCTCCACTTCTCTCCTTGCTTCTCATGCCCTTAGTGCCCATCATTGATTTGACCTAAATGGTTGGTTAGGGAGGGGGTGAGATTCGGGGGAATCTCAGTAGCAAACAATACCATATAATCATGCTAAATGGATGCTCATGCACTACACGCAACTTGTTTATTCTCTTGTTAATTAGTGACATACTTGCATGCTCAAAGCTAACTTCTTGATGCATGGCCATGGAGACATAATCTACTCATCATGAATAGCAATTACAGTAGCTAAAACATGTCACAATAACATTCAATAACATGTACACGGCAACACACAAGCCATACCACATCAAGCAATGACAATAGGTAAGTTCACTACCTTGCACCTCAAGCTTTCCTCTTACTTTTCCTTTGACTCCCTTGACTTTCCAACCATGTGGGCATTCGGTCAACTTCACTAAACATCCTCTTGGATGTTTCAAAGGTCCTAAACATAACCATAATGATGACACAATTCATTAGGACCATTAGATTACATAAAGTTCAAGACTAGCTTTCTTG